GCTCCGGCCGCGCTGCACCGAGCTCCGGCCGCGCTGCAGGGAGCTCCGGCCGCGCTGCACCGCGCTCCGGCCGCGCTGCAGGGAGCTCCGGCCGCGCTGCACCGCGCTCCGGCCGCGCGCCCGCCTGCAGCTGCGGGGAGGGATGCAGGTGTGCCAGCAGCGCAAGAGAGGTAGGGCATGGCCTCACACAAAACGAAAGCAGGGCCAATAGCAGTTGTCGGTACCTGTGAAATGTTCTCTCTAAGCTCATCTAGCACTTTTCCTTTGTTTTCCCCTCTTTGTGGAGTAAGCCAAAGCTGGGAGTGTACTAGAAATAAAGGGGGAGGGAGGTGGTGTGTTAGGGTACTGAAAGTGGAGAGTGTTACAGTAAAATACAGTATATGCCCTTTGTGGCCCTCATTTATTTCTGTGCAAATAGCCTTCAGCTGCGATGTGTCTCTACATATATGAAGGAAACAGAAATGTATTATTTATGTAACAAACACATGGCATTTTAAAATTATGCAGTGATACTTTTTAATTACTCTTGTTCATCAGAACTAATTCATCTTCAGTTTTGCTGTTAGTGATTTTTGGAGCATCTTGTGTGTCACCCTTTGTGAGCAGTGAATCTTACACACAGTTAGTGGGGAAGAAACAAATGCTTTCAAAATAGAAAAATTTGACTGAATGCTGGCAGGAGCTCAAAAGCAATTACATACTCTAAAGAGTACTCTTAGTTCAGTTTTACAAGAGTAAATGCCAGGACAGTTATATTTCCTTCAAATGAAATTTTGACTGGGGCAAGCACGGTAGCAGGGCTTTCTTTGGTTTATGCTTCTTGATTGTTGAAAGCAATTTGTAAGAAAAAAAAACCTCTTTTTTGTTTTTCTTTTTTTTTTTCCTGTGATTTTCTGTGAATCTTTCTTTGCTTTTAAAATTGTTTAGGTTCATGTGACTAGAGATTCACTTCTGAAGTCTTTGCTTCCTCATTGTCACAAGTGGTTCTGTGTTACTATTTCCTATAGGATTGTGTAAATAGTTAAATTGCTTAGCAAAGAGCTTTTTTCTCCTGACTACCTCTAGAGAGCATGGCTACATTTTCAAGGGAATGTGAACTGATCATTTAAGGATTCAGTATTCTGCCAGTCTTGGTGAAAGTCAGAGGCAGGGAATGTCTCACAGCATACTAATAGCAGTTATACCAAAGTTAAATTAATTTTATTAGTCTCTAGACAATTGGAGGGGAAAAAATAGCTTGTGGCAGTGGAAAATTATAATAGTGCTAAGACTGTTAGCCCCCGTGGAGCAACAAGAAGGTTATTTATGCAAATGGCTGTTGCACACACAACTGGCTGGGAGGAAATGGAAAAGTTCATCATCCTCAGTAAGGGATACTTGCCATGCCTGTCCAAAAATGTGTCCAGGCACCTTCATGTTGATGAGGAATGGTTTGCTCTCTGTGGGTTATAAATGTTACATTTTATTTTTACTTTCCAGAAACGTCATTTGACTCACTGAAGATTTAAAACCGACAGAGTCATATGAGTGGGAGAAAATGAAATTTTAGTCTCAAGTGGCGGTATCAAGTCATAAGAAGTAAAGAGATTTAGATGGTTTCTCACTAAATGGAAGTTATATAGAAGGCCTCTAAGACCACTGCATCTCTCCATCCTGCTCCTGCTGCACAGAGACTGGAATCTTGGCCTTGGACATTAATAAAATGCTGGATTCAGTCAAGTGTGTTCTGGTGGGAGACTCTGCGGTTGGGAAAACATCTCTCTTGGTACGTTTTACCTCTGAGACTTTTCCAGATGACTACAGACCCACTGTATATGAAAATACTGGAGTGGATGTCTTCATGGATGGCGTACAGATCAGCTTAGGTCTTTGGGACACATCTGGCAGTGATGCCTTTAAAAGCATTCGCCCCCTCTCCTACCAACAGGCAGATGTGGTATTAATGTGCTATTCAGTGGCAAACCATAATTCCTTTCTGAACCTGAGGAACAAATGGATCAGCGAGATCCGCAGCCATTTGCCCCGCATCCCTGTTTTGGTGGTGGCCACTCAGACTGACCAGCGTGACATGGGTCCCTACAGTTCCTCCTGCATCAGCCCTCTCGATGGGAAGCGGCTCGCCCAGGACGTGCGAGCCAAAGGCTACTTGGAGTGCTCCGCCCTCAGCAACAGGGGCGTGCAGCAGGTGTTTGAGTATGCTGTGCGGACAGCGGTCAATCAAGCCAAAAGGCAGAACAGGCGGAAGCTCTTCTCCATTAATGAGTGCAAGATCTTTTGAGGACTGTCAGCAGTGGTTTTGCTCACATTTGTTCTTTCTGTTTTCTCACAAAGACGCTGTAGCAGAGAGAATGGGAGGTGAATCAAAGGAGGGCTCCTGGAAGGACCACAGTGCAGGTGCCTCTTGTGAGACAGGTGTGCTCTATACCTGATCCTCTTACCTCCAAAAAATATGGGCACTATCTAGAAAAATGAAAGGTGCATACCCTTATTCACAAGCCTGTGTTTGGACTTTGCAAGCCTGAACTACAGCAGGCCTGGCCTGCAGATCTGCAGATAACAGAAGTATTGATTTTGGTTTTGTTTCTGTCAGTGTTCCTCAGTTGTTGGTTTGTCTGCATCTGCATTTATTTAATGACAAAATTCTGCCTGGATCAACCCCCACCTCTGTCTTTGTGGATTTTTTTTTAAGAATATAGTATATAAAACCTGACCAATGTGTATTTTATTTAAAGGACTCTTGGATATATTGTTGAAAAATCACAACAGTTTGTTTTAATATTTTGGAGGTTCTCCCTTTAGCTAACCACAGAAATGAACTGTCCTATCCATGTAATAAATGGCCTGCAGGTAAGTCTTAGACGTGCCTGAGTCATTGCATAACAGCCATCACTATGTCCAGCATAGGAGTAATCAAAACTTACTGACTTTGACAGCTGTCTCCTGCAGGTTTTGTGAGATTTGTTACCTTAATATTGTTCCTCAACAATGTGGTCAAAGGTGGAAACTAATCTGATTCTTCCTAGACTTCACTGGCTTACAACCTCAGGGCTTGCAGACAGGGTTGGTTTGCAGACATATGGTTGGGCTGGCAGGGATAAATCTGGGCAACCATCACCTCTGTTGTCCCTACTGTAATTCTGGAGGCAAAAGATTTCAGTCTCTAGAGATGGAAGATATTTTTTTCATGAGCACTTATATTCTCACATATTTTTACTATACTTTTTTTCAAAGTGGTGTCTTTAGTGAAACCAGTCACCTACATTAGTAAAAGACTGAGTACATAGCAACTTTGAATGGGTGTCTTTAGAATGGCTAAATGGCTTCTTTTTTTGAGTTTGCATGCTAAGTATAACTCCCTAGGTTGCACCCAAGTAAGACCGAAACAGGCTTTACATCCTGGGGAGCATGTCAAGTCTAGGAGCCAAATCCTGATGTATGTACTGGGGCAAAGTTACCCTTCTGCACAGAAAGGTAGGATAAGGAAATGGAAACTTTAGGTGTGTGAGAGAACTCTGTTAGAAGATGAAGTGGGCTCAAGACACGATGCTGTACATTCCTTGTGAATTGTGGTGGTACCCTCCTTCTCATATTATCTCTCCCCTCTGTCCTGTCCCCCCTCTCAGGTCCTGCAGATTTGTCTTGTCCCAAGAGAATTTCTTAGTGCAGCAAGATTTTCTTTGTCCCTTTTCCTGTCCTTCAGCTAGCTAGGAACTAACTTTTGAGGGGCTTATAGTGTGGTGCCATTAAAGGTGGCACATAGCACAGTAGGATTATTTCACCTGTGATGTAGGTGAGCAAGTATTTACACTGTGGGCACCTTGATTACCAGTGGGACACAGAACACCTGGTGTTGTGATTGTCCTGCCAGCTTCTAGACTGTTGAATATTTACTGCTCATCAACCTGATTGTAAGAGAGGCTTCTGATCATAAAAATATCCTGGTCTCATCTGAGATCTCATCTCATCCTGGTCTTGTATTTTTATAACAGCCTTAAATCTTTACAAACTTCTGCACCTGAGCATACCAGACAGGGACTTCTGTCACCACCTATCTTCCCTGAATTCTTCTCTTTCTTACTTATCTTTCTTCTCAAGTGTTGACTTGTTACTGAAACACTAAAACGGACATATTTTTTAAATAATCTGAATGTCATTGTACTTGTGTATAGAGTTACACAAGTGGCCAAGTAATTGCCGTCCTTGGTTAAAAATCTTTTGGCTTTTGGGAGAAATATACTTCTACATGTCAACTCTTGTAACACCTCTCCACTGGAAGTCTTAGGTTTTGTTACTTTAATTTAAAAGTAGCCATTGTTACAGTTTGAACATTAAAGATTCCATGACAATTATTGTGTTCTGAATTTTCAAATCCGTTACAACTTGGGACATTTTTATTATGTTCCCTACTTCACTAATGGATTTAATACCTTCTTTCAACTATTTTTAAAACATATTTTTTCCAGAATGCTCTATTCAATTGTCTTTTCTTTTTTTCCTCAGTGGATTAAAGTTCAAGCAGTTTTTATGTGCTGAAGAGCAGTAATCACCAGGTGACAATGTTGTGTTGTGGTATCTACTGCAAAGTGCCACATTCACGCACCAAAAGGCTCCACAGAATTGTTATCGCAGATGAAGCCAGACAAAGATGTGCTTTAGAATCATACTTTAACTGAAAATCTCATCTCATCTTATCTGTATTAGCTTCACAAATAACACAAATGTTATGGTGTGTTACAAAATTAAGAATTCAATATCTGTTGCAATTCAGGTGCAAGCCAGGTGGATAGGCTTCAAGATGTCTGAACTGACGATACAGGGTACACACAAAATTTAGGGATGGGTTGATATACTCCTGATTGTGCATTCTAGAGCCAGCGCAAAGTGTGCGGCCACTGGAAACCATCTGATTTTTAAAATCAATTTGGAAAGAGTATGAAGTAATGGGGATTTTGGTTTTGTGCTCTGTGAAAAAAACAGTTCAAATTTTCACAGCCTGGTTATTTTCAGACTCTCAAAGCTAAAAGGCACTTTTCACTGGGAGCATACTGTGAAGCACATATATTTTAGTGCCTGTAATTATGCGGTTTGCCCTGAGCTATAGAATCTTCGTGCTCCGAAAGTGTGGCAACCCCAAAACAGAGGCTGAAATCTAGATGCAGGTAGGATTAAGATGAAGATTTGGCCAAGTGGTATATTGGGGTTTGTGGCTTGCACAACTGCAGCCCTGTTCTATGTGGTGAGAACAACTATGCGAAGGGACTGCTTAGGTCTCCTGTGAAACCCTTCCAGGGTGGTTTTGCTTGTCTTTACTTGGGTAACAGGGTCCCTGAGTACTGTTCAGAGGTTAAAATCTGGCTCTGGTACTTAAAATACATTGAAATGATACATGTGGAATTTCAGCTTCTTTTGCTTTGAAAAACAGCAAAACAGAAAAAATGTGCAGCCCTGCCTCAGCTGGGTCAAGCTTGCAGCTGAGGGAAGAGACCTTGCCCAAATATTCTCCTTCTATCTTCTCAAATAGATACCTTTCAGTTTGCTGTTCTGTTGATAATCTTCTTTTTGCTTGCTATTAAAACAGGTTGGGTTTTTTTTAAGGATTCTTTTAAATACAGATTTCCCAGGCTTTATCTTATTTGATATGCAGCACACAATATAAATATTTTCTCCAAGTAAATAGTAAAAATATGTTTCAAATCATCACTCTTGACCCCCCTGATTTTTCATACAGAAAATTATTCAAGCTTGCTAGATATAATTGATACTGTTTTGCCTGATATTTGCAATTAACAGTTTGCAAATTTTTATGCAATTTTTTGTGGGTACTCTGTGTTTACTAAAGTCTGTGAACACAAACTAGCTGATGCTTGTGTTAATAAAGAAAATGTGTTTAAGGGACTCTATATATACCACCATTATAAAAGAAGTCACCAGAGGGTTCAGATATGAAGGAAAAAGAAATGTCAGTACTCTTGACATCTCAGCCTTTCCTGTATTACTATGGCATTTGAGTGAATAAGCCATTAGAATAATTTCTAAAAAATGGGGCAATCCATATCTTTTTAGCACTTTCTCCTTGTTTAAGAAGCTCAGCTTCTTAAACAAGCCAGATATGACCACAACTAAATTAGCCAAACTCCCTTGTTCTGAAATAATAATGAATTTTTGTCCCCGAATATGAGGAAATGTATTTTACATCTCAGAGATTTCCTTTGCAATGGTAGGAGCTGACTAGTTATCAGTGTGCCCCTCTCATAGCAGACCCGTGTGCCCTTCACCTTGTGCTCTGAGCAGCCAGTTATTGAAAACAAAATTCAGGGAGAAAACAGCTTTTGAGTGTACCTAGGTGTTTATGTGGTTATATAGCTGCTTAACTACAGCTTGGTAGCCTTTCCACTGTCCTGGACCTCTCGCTGCATTGCGATGTGGCACTGCAGCCTCTGTGTGTCAGCGGGGCCCGTGACACTCGTGAGGCACAAGAGCATCATGATGAAGCTGCCCTGTGTGTTCAGCAGGACAGAAGAGATACTCCTCAAGGCTTCCCTGACCTGCATCACAGGCAATTGCCCTACTCTGCAGAGCTGGCGCTGCCTCAGTCAGACTTCTGTCACTTGCAGGTGGCCTTGCAGTAACACACTTATTTTGTGCGCCATTTCTAAAACCAGCATCAGTATCCAAATCATTGCCAAGGCCTGGCTTCTGCAGCCACAGTTGTACTGGTAGCTACGCTCCAGCTGCTGCATTTTGGAGGTGGGAGGAGGGGGATGTCTCAAAGCACTGGGCTGAGCCCTGTGGCACATCCCTTCCTGAGCGTGGGGAGCTGGCCTCCAGCCTTGCATGAGCTGTGAGTTACTAGCAAACAGAAGAGCAGCTATTGCTGCCTTTCTGGTTATGAGGTGAATGAGTGACACATCTGCCTCGGGTCTTTCACAACCGCCCTACACAAGGCTGGCAGGGGCACTTCTGTCATTGCTCCTCTCAGCCCGGGTATGATTCATAGAGGGCGGAGCAGCAGGGCATGGGCCTCTGTGTGGTGGTGGTGGTTGTTTCTGTCTCTGGAAAAGAGGAAGGAAACAAAGATTGGTGTCTTCGCTTGGTGTGAGGCGCTCACTCGCCCGCGTCCGCAGTGTTTCTGAGAAGTCTCCAGTGGCCCTGGCTCCCACTGGCACCCAGCAGCTCTGGACTGTGCCTCGGAGGATGCAAGCTGATCTGGGACACTGTCATTCCAAGACCTGGGTGACTCCCTTCACTCCCTTGGTTGCCTTCCCAAAATGCTCATTGCTGTTCAGCTACCACAGAAGGGTGAGACTTTCAAAAGAGATGGCTTCGGCTGCTCAGGATGTGGCTGTGTCTGCTAGCTGTCTGCTAGCCACAGTCAGGGCAGTGGTGGCCGAAGCTCCACAGCCGACTGGAGCCGACAGGATATAAGGGGAGAGACCCAAAGCTGGTACTTCTCAACTTGGCAGATGAATTAAATAGAAGCAGCTGGAGGGAGACAAGTCTTATATGTCAAACCTCTTCTAACTCATAAGCACTGCTGATTTTTCTCCTTCTTAGAAAGCTCATTTTTTAAAATATATCAAATGCTAAGTGTGTTTCTGGCTATTGCCTTAACACTTTCATTTGTCTGTCAGTGTGACACCAGATTTCATGCCTTAAGGCCAGTGATGCAGTGTTCTACACAGCATGTGTGTGAGGAAGCATTATAGGTCACAGGATTCCACAAGAGACTAATTTAGAACTTGCCATGTATCTTGGGCATTGAAATGTATAGATGTTTTAAATTATCCTTTTATATGTGGAATTAGTGCTGCTATCTGATCCATCATAGAATTATTGATCAACTAAACCAGAGCTGCAACCTTGGCTCATAATTGGCTTAGACAATGAATTTTGCTGTTCAGTTCCTCCCCAATTGTGCAGAGCTTGACCAAAGCTCAGTCAGGTCAGGTAGGGAGCTTTTAACTTTAACAGGCTCTGGGCCACGCCTGTGTAAGCCTGCACAATTAACTTTTAGATATACAACTCCAAACTGACTGGTGGCATGACTGGCCAGTCAGCTTGACCTGAATGAGTTCACTTTGCCTGAGCCTGCTCCCCGTGGCTGTCTGGTGGGTGGCAGGAGGAGGAACTGCAAGCATGAAATGCTGCTACACAGCCCCACTGGGTGCTCTGGCCCCACTTCTGCAGCTGGGTGACACAGGGCAAGTCCAGCTCTAATGGCCCCCCACATGAGATGGACACATGGCAGCAACCTTTTTTAAAGTATTTTCATTTGGTCATGAAAGATCTTGGTGTTGGTGGGTACTTTCTCATTTGTCAGGCCTGTCAGATGTTTCTTCTGACAGGTTTACCTGCAGAGTATGCCCTGAATGGATCTGTAGCATATGTACTAGGACTAGAGCTTTCCAGAATTTCAACTCACTAAAGCTGCATGGAGTAGGTAAGCATAAGGGACAGAAGGAGAAAGGACATGATATAACAAAAAATAAATTGCTTTACTACTTTAACAGTTTGTAATTAACATAATGCCCTTTTTAATTTTACAGAACATCAGTATGGGTTGAGCTAACATCTCATTAGTCAGTGATATGATTAGAAATCAAATTTTTCCTGAGAGAGTTGTGCTGAATGCTGGGAAGGTAGAGAGAATGTCCCTCCATGGTTATTCCTATCCCTCTTTTTGGAGCATGCTCTTACTTTTCCTATCGTGACTGGACTCTGGGCTGGAGTGATCTCAGTGTGTGCAACATGAACATGTAATTACAGCCATTTGTGATGGTAAAGATTTTCTTTTCTGCAGAGGGAGCAGTCAAGGGTCCTCATTTAAAGTCTCAGGCTTACAATGCAGTACAAGACACAATTTAAGGAGATTAACTCAAGGAGAGGAGCATCTGACTTTGCTCTGCATCTTCCACAACTTTCCACCTGGCTGACAAGAAAACCAATGCAGTGCCCTTGATTTGGAGCATTATCAAGTTTTCGTCTTTCAGTTGTGCAGGGATATATCTCTGTTATTTTTCCCTGAACATCCAGAGACATTTAAAGAAATGAGAATCCTTACTGGAGATATTTCCCTCTTTCATAGCTGACACGTGCTTCTGGCTCCCATAACAGACAGGTCACAATTTAACTTCTAGTTTACAGATGAAAAAAGTCTCATGAGTCTTGCCTGGCAAAAAATTGCAACTTCCCAACCACACCCCATGAAGAATAGCTAGCTTTAGTGCAGCTGATCTTTGCAATAGGCAACAACCAATGCTGGTGGAGTTGTCTTCATGAAACTGCACAGAAGAGACTGGAGGAATATCACTACATTGCTTATTAAATACATGAGGGATATAGCT